GCTTTGCAAATGTTTGTCACATTCATATAGCATTTTTGTTTACGTAGACCTCCTATTGTCATAATTGCCATTTTTGCCCTCATATTGTCATTATTGCTGATTTGTTGCCCACATACTCAATTGCCTCTTTGTAGCAGATGCATTGTTAGTAATGCCCTTTTTTTGCCTCTGTAGTGTTAAAGCGGAGCTCCACCCAAAAGGGGAAGTTCCGCTTTAAGGACTGCTCCCCCGCTCCCCATTAAGGATTGGCACCTTTGGGGAGTGGGGGGGAAGGGGTACTCGAATTTGACAGGTACCCACTCCCACTTCTGGTCCTATCGCCTAGGCGATCGGAAATGGAAGGTGTCCTCCCTTCCTCCCTCCCTGTAGTCTTTTGTGACACGTGACGGTCCCAGAAGACTACAGGACCATTCATGAAGAGTAGCACTACTCACGCATGCGCAGTGGGTACCGAGCTGTGAAGCTATCACAGCCGGGTGCCCACACTGAAGATGCCAGCCTCCTGGAATACAGGATGGCCGGAGAAACGAGCTGCGGGGGACACACCACAGGACCGAGGGACAGGTAAGTGGCTGTTTTTTAAAAGTCAGCAGCTAGTTTTTATAGCTGCTGACTTTTATTTTTTGATAGGTCGAGTGGAACTCCGCTTTAAGTACGCCCCATTTGTTTTGAGGACCAAATTACTATGTAAAATAATCTCCATAGATCTGTCACTATCATATCACAGCACTGTTAGCCCCATGTTTGGCTAGAATGCACTCATTGCCTCCATTTCTGTGTGCAGCACAGAGTGTGGCAATGTTAGCCCCTTGGTAGTGTGCTGAGATGCACTGCAATGTAGCTGTTTTACCTTTGTGTGTTGGGGTGCCATTGGAAATGAATGCAAATAACTCGTGTATTGAGGTATTACACGTTTCTGTAGCACATTGCTGTGAAAAGGCCCTAAATTACTGAAATGTGTGCTTGAATGGTATTTACTTTTAAGCAATGTAAATTTCATAATTAAGTGTTCCATGGATTTAACAATATGTAGCATACCAGAACCATACTTTCTAAAGGTTATAGAAAATGCACTGTTGTTTCCTTAATGTTTTGCTAAATTAGACCTACCTGACATTAATTTCTCGCTGACACTTTACATAATACAGTTTAGTGAGTAATTTTCACAAAGCTAAAAGCACAATAACAGCTGGAGCTGAGACTGCCTGCTGTGACTTACAATTAATGCTACATTGCAACAACGTTCCAAAATGCAGAGGGTAGAAAACACATGAAAGGTACCACAGGGACAGATCCAACATTTGAAGACCACTTTGTCAAGGGCTGTCATTATTCTATTTACATTGTTCAAATTGCAGGGGAATTATGTACAGCAATTAGACAGTCCAAGACTATCTGTAGCATTTTAAATTAAATTAAATGCATCCTGTAACCTGTGACCAGGCACCTACACCAAACGTTACAGGATTTACAGCCCTCCCTTCTGGGGCAGGCGGAGGAAGCTTTATTAGATTGTTTTTGCTTAGAGATTGTCCTCAAGGTCAAAAAGGGAAAAATGTGACTTTTCAAGTTTTGGCACATTAGAAAACATTAGTCCCTTTGATTAAAGTCAGAACAAAAGCAAACACAAAAAAAGGATGATGTTTGATTGCGGGGTTCCACAGGTACGGTTTATTTGAGGACAAAAAAACGAATTAATCAGTTGTCTTTTGAAACTTTTTAAAGAACATTTAGTATATCTTCTCTAAACATGCAGATGACATTTTATGTTGGAACAGTCAACAAGTAAAGGCCATTTAGGTTTATACCAATCTCCGGCATTTGATTGGCCTTTGCAAACTATCAACCAGAAGCTGTGGGCTTTATGGTGTTCTTACTTGAAGAAACATTAAAGATGATCTGTGAAAGGTAGGTTGGGCCTCAAATTCCTGCAGCATAGAGGCCTTCTAGAAATTTAGGATCCCAAGGCAAATGCCACATTTAAATAGCCCCGATGTCAACAGATGTAACCTCTGTGATGTCCCCCGTGTCATGGCGATACAGATTAATCCAACAGCCTGGATTGGAGAGACAACACAAATTTAAAATGTAGTAGCTATCCCTTCTAACCTGCTTTCTTAGGCAATGATATTTTTAAGGGCTCATGTACACTGCAGCTGCTAAACTGACGTTCAGGAGCTTTTCTGCGTTTTTTTTTTCAGCTGCCCCTGAACTCTCCCTAATGTTTTCCTATGTGTCCATGTACACATCGTTGTTTACAGTTGTTTACAGGCATTTGAGTTTACAGTCGTTTTTTTGAATACACCAAACTTGCGTTTAGGAATAGAAACTGGAGTTTCAAACGCCAAACACGTGTAAACGGTTGTAAACGCGTTTTTAATTGTTCCATATCCAGATGCTGTTCAACATCAGAAAAGCATGCAATGCGTTTACCATGTATTCAAATGGACCCAGTACACCAGCGCAGTCAGTTCCAGGTTTCGAGTGAAGGAAAAAATGGTAGAGCGTGCCACAATATGCTCATGATGGGATCCATAGTGAATACAACCAGAAAAGACAGGTCATCTCAACACATACTGCTCTCTCTGCTTCTGCTCTCTCTATATTTCTCTCAAAATGTCTGAAATAGTTTATTATTTACTATTTTTCAGTGCATTCTGGGCATTTGGGAGGGTCTCCTGAGGTTATCTTTTAAAAACGCTTCTGAACGCAAATGTGCATAAAATTGGCTAAACACGCATAAATCCGGTATGCAAACGTGGCTAAACTGACGTTTTATAACCTACGTTTTCCAGCAGTCAGTTTCCATTGTTCAGAAGAGTTTTCCAAACGCCCCGTGTACATGAGCCCTAAGGCTAAAGTGGCCCTACTTGTAGTTGAGTTAATTCTTCAACGTTAAAAAATGTTTTAGCATAAAGCTTTAATACAAATGTTGCTGTACTTTACTGAATGGTAGTATTGTTCTGTATTTTTTATATTTCTAATGTGGCAGACACAGAAATTAGGCTGCATGCATTTGTAAATCCATGTAAATTCAAGGCACCTCTATAAAGTGGGTTCAATAATTCAGAACAATATAAATGTTCCACTGTAGACATATACAGTATAGTAATGCATACATTAGGAGCAGGTGTACCATTTGCCTAAAAAATACAACAAAACATCAGAAGCCCCAACATCTCAAGGCAGGTGAAGATCCCTAGTGTGTTGCTGCAAATCTAGCAAAGCATTAATGGTGGCCTTTTAGATTGAATTAAACCTAGCAGAAAGGGGACACGTGGGCATGGGCTTCATGTGTATTTGCAAATATATGCAACTAAAGACTGAGTTGAAATGTTGAAATTGTTTTGTTTGTCTTTTTTTGTGCTGACTAGATAGAAAGGGTGCTGGAGAATTTTTGTATTGTTCTGTATGTTGCCTTACCCATGTGTCCCTTTCCCGTTTTGCAAGTTTTTAAAGGAGAAATACAGGCAAAACTGGTTTGGCTGTACTTCTCCTGTGGATCACAGGCATGCAGATCGTTCTGTACTCCTGTGACCCGTCATCAGCCGACCATATTCTAAAGCCTGCTGTTGGCTGACTTCACAGGGCCAGTCCAGGCTGAGGAAAAATTGTGATTATATTGATACCACTGGGTATATTGGAAACACTTCATTTTAGAGTCACTGAGAGCCTGAGCCAGCAACTCCTGTCTCCTCCACAGTTCAGAGCTGGAGGGGGCAGAGCAGACAATGGTAACTGACAGTCACGGCTCTCTGCTCAGAGCGGAGGAGAGAACTGAGTGATCAGCGGTGTCTGATCACTTAATTCTCACCCTTAGAGCCAGTGGGGGACAGATGCAGCATCAGATCGATGCTGCATCCACCTAGGCAAGTATGATTTAAAAAAAAGAATCCCATATTTCTCTTTTGATTGATCTGAGAGACTGTCATTGTTTTTCTGAAGCACATATCAAACACAGGTGAGCAAATTCCTGTTTTATTTCTATTTGAAAAGCTTTATTGGTTATTAAAGTAAATACAGTCAAAGGAGGTAGCATGGCATTGTCTAAAGATACATGAACATGCACAATAGGCACAAGGTTTTATCAATAAATAAAAGTCACAGTGCAGAGATATGATGATGATAATGAAAAAGAAAGATGAATCTCAAGGTAACAAAAGAATAAATCTCTCCTCAGGTCTGGTTGTTTGTTTTGAGGGCTCCTGGGCCTGTTGGATAAATCATGTCTCATGCTGAGAAATATAGATAAACATTAACAGCCATTCGCTCCAGAACCAAAATGGAGCAGTTAAGGCTGACTGTAAACTAGTGTAACCTGAAGTGACAGATAGTAAAAGCAAGAATGGGAAGTGAGAAAAAGGTAAAGGTGCCCATACATTATACAATTTTCTTCCTCAGTTTCCTTTAGATTTATCTTCAACTATATAGTGCAAGGACCTACCTGATTGCATACAAATTGAAAGTGTTAAGGTTTGACATGAGATTATATGATTTTGGTAAATCTAAAGGAAAGTTGTATAATGTATGGCCAGCCTAAGGGAAAGAGTGGTCACAAACTGGGGAAGAAATGGAAAGAACATTTAGAAGGGGGGTGGAGAAAGGAGGGTGGTGGATCAGGGACGGACTGACAACTCATGGGGCCGCCGGGCAATAGGAGATCATGGAGCTCCTGTGTCCTCACCCACACTCAAACCACTCCCAAAAAAGCCTATGAAAGGTACTAGGGGCATCTCATGGGGCCCCCAACTGATCCCGGGCCCTGGGGCAGTGCCCGAGTACTCAAATGGTCAGTCCGCCCCTGTGGTGGACCATAGGTTTATCTACATTGTACTAGAGATGATGGCTGCAGTGCAATGAGCAAAGTGCATTCAATGGAGGTGAGCTTGCAAGTGTCAGGGCAGGAGCTGTGGAATGGACAGGCAGGCCTAATGGTAGGGTCATGCACCGACTGACGACAGCCACCTCCCACAGACCGGAGTCCCTCAGGGCGCAGAGTCTAAGCCCCAGGCTGCCCTTCACCAGGGCCCCTGATGGTGGGGATGGACTTGACGCAGCCAGGAACGAGGACGCGGCCCCCGAGAAACCCCAGCTGCGGTAATGGCCGCCGCCAATGGCGTATAGCGGGTAGGAACCAGATAAGAACGATAGCGTAGTCGGACAGGCCGGGTCGATAACAGCGGGACAGACAGTACAGGACGGTAGACAAGAATACACGGGTCACGAGCCGGGTTCAGCAACGGGAGGTCAGATAAATGCTGAGAATAGTCTTAGACAATGCCGAGTCAGTTTCCAGGAGAGCCATGAGAGTAGAATAAGAGCTTGCAACAACACTAACAAACAGGACATGAATGCAAAGAACAAGTGCAGACAACAGGCTTAAATGTGCTCAACCACACCCCTCTGGGGGATGGACCGCAGAGGCCTGAAAGCATAAAAGGCTCCCATCATGCTTTGCAGAAACCCAAGATGGATGCCAGCACATGGAGCAGCATAACCTCTGGGAAAAGGTAGGACCTTGACAGCAAGTGACCCACAGAGACCATACCTTGGAGAAGTTTTCATGAGTGTTGTTTAAGGCGAGGGAAACAAATTCCCATTTAGTCCCACTGTGCAGTGCGGATGATATTTCTAAAGACCACATTTGACTTTGTTTGCATTTTCCTCAATGATGCAGGTTCTATCAAAATATGTAGGCAAAGCAGGTCAAATGGAGCCTTTTTCTGCAATTTGCAGTCGAATGCATGCATATGAGCAGCGATGTGTTGGAATGTAAAAGACAGTGTTTGGCAACAACGTAAGGTCATACATGCCCTATAGCCCCCCCAACACACACAAAGACAGTTGGGGTTTATTTAATTAAAACTGCATGGTGCAATATCTGCTGCAGCTCTGCATAAAAACCAATCAGCTTCCAGGTTTTATTGTCAAAGCTTAATTAAACAAGCTGAAGTTATCACGAAGCTGCAAACAACTCCACACTATTATATCCCTTCCAGCTTGGAAAACCATCCTCCATAAGTGGATCTATTCAGAATCCCCCACTATTTTGTTGCTTATAGCTAAACTATCTTATGTTTGTTTTTTGCATGGACTGTGTGGAGGCCTCCCTAACCACTTGCCCTCCAGAGGATTTACCCCCCTTCCTGACCAGGCCATTTATTGCGTTATGGCACTGCGTTACTTTAACTGACAATTGCGCGGTCATGCAATGCTGCACCCAAATGAGATTTATGTCTTTTTTTTCCACGAAAAGAGATTTCTTTCTGTGGTATTTGATCGGCTCTGTGTTTTTTTTATTTTATGCACTATCCAAAAAAAAAGACCGACACTTTTGAGAAAAAAACAATATTTTTGACTTTTTGCAATTAAACATGTCCAGTAAAAAAATTAAAAAAATCAAATTTCATCATAAATTTACACCAAAATGCATTTTGCTACATGTCTTTGCTAAAAAAAAATCCCAGAACGTGTAAATTAACTGATTTACGTTAAAGTTATAGCATTTACAAATGACAGTAAATATAATGGGATTATTTATTTATTTTTACTCGTAATGGTGGCGATCAGTGACTTATAGCAGGACTGCGGTGGGCATTCTGACACTGGGGGGAACTGACTTGGTGTCACTGACATCCCCAGTGACACCAATACAGTGATCAGTGCTAATAAAAAGCATTGACACTGTACTAATGTCACTGGGCACGAAGGGGTTAACATGTGGGGCACTCAAAGGGTTAACTGTGTGCTGTTTTACATTGTGTCCTGTGTGTGTGCTTCACTGCAAGCACGTTGCTTTGCATGGCTGTGCTGTGAACAGCCATGCAAAGCAGTGTGTCGGAGCTGACAGGGGAGAAAACTCTTTTGTTTACAAATAGTTCTCCCCCCGTTGGAGATGCTCGGCAATCACTGGGACCCCCGGCCCGTGAATGGCGGCTTGGGTAGGGTGCGCCCCCTACCCGGAAATGCAAAATCACGTGTATATATATATATATACGTGATTTTGCGCACCCATGCCGCCCTGTAGCAGTACTTCTTCTATAGGGTAGACGGGAAGCGGTTAAGCACGGCTCAAATTTTTTTTTGATGTTTGGGAATTCTTTGTCCAAACCCTACCTGTTGGTACACAACAGTCTATAATGAAGTGTTTCCAATATACCCAGTGGTATCAAACTAGATTAATTAATGACCCTCCAATTGATTCTGTATCCTCCACTTCATTGGAAATATCCATTAAAATCTGGTAGTTTAGACCTCCCCACTTTCTATTTCCACCTATCAATTTTTAACCAACCACTGTCCATCCTGGTGCTCACTGTGACTCCTTTCTAAACCCTGTTCTACTAGTTTACTTTCAAAATAAAAAAAAAACTTAAGTTAGAAGCTGATTGGCTAACATGCACAGCTGCACCCAAATCTGAGTGCATCCGTTTTAGTATATCTGCCCCAGTAAATACAACAACAAAAGATAAAAAAAATATTAAAGCTGATCTCTGGAATAGTAAAAAAAAAAGTTTGTCCATCCCCCACCCTACACTACCAGGGTTAAATGCTTGCTTGCTTGCACTGCAGGGGTTAAATACTTACCTTACTCATTACTCCCCGAACAATATCTCCGATGCTTCAGGATGTGGGCAGACCCTTGGCGGATGCCTGTGATGGGTGATCTGGGGTACAGCTCAGAGAAAGCCTGCAGAAAGGAATTTTCTGAGTATTACAGCCTCTTCCTCTACCCCAGAACAAATGAGCATTTAACCTTTGCTGAACATGCATCACGCTGCTTCTTGCCGCACCTCACACAGTATTTTCCATACAGTGTAAATGAGCCCCTATTAGCCACACTATACCAAGGGACATTGGAGGAAAAGTATGGCTTCCACATAGATTTGCACATTTATGCAACTAAAACCTCTGCTCTTAATACAAAAGGAGTGCTGTCTATTTCTTTGAATATGTTCCAAGGCAGTAATGTAGCACAGCCAATTGATTCCTTTCTAAAGTTGGCCCTTTTCAATTTCAAGGCTGGCCGCAAAGGAAAAAGGGAGGTTAAACATGATAAAAATGATAAAAGGTGAGCAAGAAATAGGAATAAAAGAGAATGAGATAACAAACTTCTACAATTACAGTTGCAGCATCTGATCAGCAAGGCAGATAACTTATCTGATTTTACAAAATACAGTTTCCTCATTACACGTTTCATAAACACAATACAATAGAGTGTAACTTTAGAGTTGGCACAATTTGTACGTTTCAGCCAGATAAAAAGTGAACAAGGAACATACTCCTATGAATCCTAATTACATTAATGTCCTTTGGCAGGATTCCTGAACACACCTGCTAATATCAGAACTTTGATGGTTTTCCTATAAATGATGTTTACAGAAAGACAGATGGACTGGAATCAAAATGTTGTCCTTGCCATTTTTGATGGATGACTTATAAACTAATTATTTTTGGTGTGTTATAGGATTTACTGAAGCATTCCCAAGGACATAAGGAGCTCATTTTTTTCCTAAGTTGACTGTAGACAATGAAGAAGTGCAATCTGCATGTATGATCTTACCATAATATGGTTTATGAAACGTGTGGCTTTTTTGTATATATTACCTTCATTATTCTCAGAAATAAAAAAACAGAAAAAGAGGGATAAAAAGCCACAAAAGCAATCCTTCTAAAAGTAGTGTTCAGTGTTACATGTATTGAAAGTATAGAAAAAAAAGTGTGGTAAGCAGATTCTCATATTCATATACATAAGGCTGCTGGTATAAGCAACCTAATTCAGCACATGGGGGGATATCATTGTCTTCATGCAGAATATTGGCAGCCATCAAATTCCAATGTACAATGGTAGAAAGGGAAGAGGCTGAAAATGGAACCCATGTGTAGTCAGTAGAGGTGCCTGTTAAAAAAAAATGTGCTTCCAAATAGATTCCTCAGAAATGATATATTTATAGGTCATAGTGTTAAGTTAAAACACACCATCAATGTGTTTGGGGACTCTTTAGTGTCTACACCGTTAAGAAATGGTGTAGATTATGCTAGATGATTAAAATAAAAATATGAATAAAATCATTTTCAGGGTGGATCCCATAGTGGAAAGATATAGGAAAATATAATTAAAACTGCAGTAAAAAGGTCATTTAATTTTAGCGATTAGAAATAAAATTCGCAACATTTAAAAAAGTGTAAAGGACGTACTGTACGTATATTTGTGTGTTGAGGTACACTATGTGTGTTTCTTTGTGTTTTAAATTATTTTTCTTAGATTGTAAGCTTCCAGGATCAGGCCCTCCTAACCCTCTTGTATTGAACTGTATTGTTGCTGTATTGTCTCCCGTTATATTGTAAAGCGCTGAGCAAACTGTTGGCGCTATATATATCCTGTATAATAATAATAATTTTTATAGTATAGGTAGTGTCTGTGTATGTTGTCATCCAATTAAAACATATTTGCGTTCTGTAAGTAATCAGAATACATACTGTAAATATATATATATATATATATACAGTCAGGTCCATAAATATTGGGACATCGACACAATTCTAACATTTTTGGCTCTATACACCACCACGATGGATTTGAAATGAAACAAACAAGATGTGCTTTAACTGCAGACTGTCAGCTTTAATTTGAGGGTATTTACATCCAAATCAGGTGAACAGTGTAGGAATTACAACAGTTTGCATATGTGCCTCCCACTTGTTAAAGGACCAAAAGTAATGGGACAGAATAATAATCATAAATCAAACTTTCACTTTTTAATACTTGGTTGCAAATCCTTTGCAGTCAATTACAGCCTGAAGTCTGGAACGCATAGACATCACCAGACGCTGGGTTTCATCCCTGGTGATGCTCTGCCAGGCCTCTACTGCAACTGTCTTCAGTTCCTGCTTGTTCTTGGGGCATTTTCCCTTCAGTTTTGTCTTCAGCAAGTGAAATGCTCAATCGGATTCAGGTCATGTGATTGACTTGGCCATTGCATAACATTCCACTTCTTTCCCTTAAAAAACTCTTTGGTTGCTTTTGCAGTATGCTTTGGGTCATTGTCCATCTGCACTGTGAAGCGTCCAATGAGTTGTGAAGCATTTGGCTGAATATGAGCAGATAATATTCCCGAAACACTTCAGAATTCATCCGGCTGCTTTTGTCAGCAGTCACATCATCAATAAATACAAGAGAACCAGTTCCATTGGCAGCCATCCATGCCCACGCCATGACACTACCACCACCATGCTTCACTGATGAGGTGGTATGCTTAGGATCATGAGCAGTTCCTTTCCTTCTCCATACTCTTCTCTTCCCATCACTCTGGTACAAGTTGATATT